CAAAAAAAAAACCCCAAAAAAAAAAAAAAAAAAAAAAAAAAAAAAAAAACGAGAGAGAGAGAGAGAGAAGAAGCCATATCAGACCAAAGAAAGAATTACTGTGTGTCATCAATTCTGACACTCACTCTTATTCTCATTTTGACAATTCTGAAATTGGGGTGAATCTTATAAACAAAGGTATCTTACTTAGGTCTACACAATACAGTAAGAGTTGGGGAGTAAATGATGACAGATTCACTCTAGCATACCAAACGTCTCTGAGTGATTTTAGTGGAGCTGACGAGATTCTTGACATCACCTGTGTCCATCTACTTAAACTTAACTCCTTGTCCATTTCTCATCTGTTCTGTCTCTCCTCAACATCCCCAACACAATTCTAGCCTCTCCTCCTGTCCCCTTCCCGCCCCCAAAGCTGTGTCTCTTTTTCATTTCTACTGGGAAGTCAGAATGCATGAGCTTCCCTTTGGACCCATGAGTGTCGCAGTGCTGACAGAAATAGCCTTTCTGCCAAGTCCCGGTCACATGAGCACTCTCTCCACGGCCCGCGCACACACCAGCCCACTGTGGCTTCTGTTGGCAAATTTACCTCTGCTTATGCCCTGGCAGACTTTCCGGAGCTTTGTCTGACCTTGTGAGTTTGTACTAGTCCCGACACTTTCTTTTTTCTTTTAAGATTTGTGCCATAGGGTGGGTGCACTCACCAGAAAGAGGCAGAGACAGTGAGAGGGAAAACGAAAAATCACCCCCTCAGGGAGGATGGCCACACCACACTCCCTTCTCTATTTTCCTGGGATTTGGTACATACACACATATGTACCTGATGTGATTTTCTTTGTTTAAAGAATTACTTTATTTCACTTTATTTATTCATTCATTTATTTATTTTAATTTGACCAGAGAGGGACAGAGTAAGAGAGAGAGTCAGAAAGCAAGCCGCCAGGTCCAGGACTCGAACCATGGTTGGCCGTGTGGGAGTCCAGCCCCCTTGACCACCACATCACCTACCAGCCTCAGCCTGGTTTGATTTTGAAGCTGCCAGGTCTGGGATTCAAACCACAGCCAGCCACGTTGAGATTCCAGTGCCTTCACTACTATGCAACCTGCTGGTCCCCAGCCCTGACTCTCTTTTGAAGAAGAAATACCAAGACAATTTCTTGGGAAATACTGCATTTTGGAGGCTTGCATTAAAATATTAATGAAGTTCATTGGGACCAGCAATTGGCCTAATGGCTATGTCACTAGACTCCCATGTAGTCTACTGCAGTTCAAGTCCTGGACCCAGTGGCTTAAACTCATGCCAGGCACATTATGTGCGTGCCCAAGATCCCAAGAGAAGAATGGAGGAAAAGGGATTGTGGCATGGCCATCCCCCCTGGGGGTGACTTCTCGCTTTCTGTCTCTCCGTCTCTGTCTTTCTGGCGAGCACACATGCCCTATAGCAAAAACCTCTCAAAAGACAACAACCAAAAAAAATGACCAAAGTTGATTGATAGTCATAATGGTACTTCTTTCAGAGCATCTATAGGCCATTTCTAGATTTTAGATTTCTTATTCTTTTACAGTAGAACCTGAGTTTGCATGGCCAGTTTTCTTTGACTTTATTCAAAATCCCTCTAGGAATTTGGTAGAATAGTAAAATCCCAGAGTCATGATTTCTAAGGCATTAGAAATTGCGGAGGCATGTGATTGGATAAGCCTAGTAAACCTTCCCCGGAAGGAGCCATGTGAACCGGGGGCTGAGTGGTCAGAATAGAGTGCTTTCTCCCTGCCCTGGGATGCTGGGATGCTGCTGCCCAGAGGTGTGCAAGGGTGTGGTGGACGCTGGCAAGTCAGAGATCAGAGCCCCAGCTTCCTGCCCTAACACACGGCATCCCCTTAACCTGGCCGCTGAGCCCTTGAATTGAACTCTTCCCCTTGAATAAGCGAGGATCAAACTGGAAGTTGATAGGCCAGAGGGGACAGGTTTCACTTATCCTGGCGTGGCCCGAATCCTGCAGGCTAATGGTCTTGGGAAAACATGGATTATGGGATCATCCAAAGCTATTTGCTGTTCATTGTGGAGCAAGGTATCAGATTGGAAATATGTAATAGATTTTGTGCGTCTGGCCTCCATGAGTCCCAGGTTTTTCTGTGGTAGTCTGAGAAAACATACAGGTGTAGTGTGGTCCTGGGCACGCTATGATTTGTGTTTGAACAGCCAGATAGGTTCTCCTGGATCAAAGGGTTAATCAGAAAATCAGCAAGGCTGTAGTTCACCAGACTCATCTCATTACTCTGTCTTTTGTAGGTAATGTCCGAACTGGTCAGCCCAGAAATCTTCACGCAGGCTCACTCAGAAAATGCAATTTCAGTCAAAGAAATTGTCACTGAAATTGAGTCCATCAGTCAAGGAGTTGGACAGATTCAGCTGAAAGGAGACATCCTGTCCAACCCATGCCACACACCAAAGAAGAACACCGCCCACGAGCTGCCCCTCGAGAGGGCCCACACCCCGGAGAGCAGACCTGGACACCTGGAGCAGGACGAGGGCTCCTGGGCAGCCCAGCCTGCACTAGCCAAAGACTCAGGGAAGTGTAATCCAGAAGGCTGCCCCACCTCGCACCTGTCCACTGCAGACTTGGAAGAAGAGGAACCAGCTGAGGGGGAACAAGAGCTCTGGGGCCCAGGGATGCACCCCGGTGCCAAGTGGTGCCCTGGGTCTGTGAGGCGAGCCACCCTGGAGTTTGAAGAGCGTTTGCGGCAGGAGCAAGAGCACCATGGTACTGCCCCTGCTGGCGCTGCATCGGCCACTCGCAAGAATTCGAAGAACGATTCTTCTGTGTCCGACCTGGCACCCAGAGGGAAAAATGATGAGCCCACCCCAGAACATTCCTTTGTCCCCAAGGAGCCAGAGTTGAACAGGAGCAGGGGGAAATGCACCGGGTCCGAGGCTGGCTCACTGCCCCATCCTGAGCAGGCTGCCACCGTGCCAGCACCAGGGCTGCCGGAGTTCCACCCCTCGCCAGCTCCTCAGGAGTGCCCGGGGTCAGACCCTAGAACAAAGCAGGAAGGAGCCCCGAAGGAACAGAGGACTGTGATTTCATACCAGGGGTCTGACACACAGGCAGTCCCTCTGTCCCTTCCCAAGAGGATAGAAATCATTGAGTATACAGTCACATCGCCCGATCACACGGGGCCAGAGGGTGAAGCAGCCACCGGTGACAAGCACGGGGAGCAAGGACTGAGGAGGACGGAAGTGGAGAAGTGTGTCACTGTGCTCTGTGCCCTGGACGAAAATCTGAACAGGACTCTGGACCTCAGCCAGGTCTCTCTGCACACCCAAGTGCTACCTCTGCCTCATTCTCCCTCTCCTGGTCACAGCAGCTCTGCTGACCCGACACCCAGGCTGAGCAGCCCGGAAGACCGGGGCGACCATCCATCCACAGCCCCAGAGTCAGCAGCACCCTCTGTCAGTCGAACAACCCATGTTCCGTCTGCCAACTTAGATTACCTGCATCCCCAGACCGTGGTTCACCTGGAGGGCTTCACAGAGCAAAGCAGCACCACAGACAGCGAGCCCTCTGCCGAGCAGCTTAGCTGGAAAGAAAGTCAGGCGGGTCCCCTTCCCAGTGGGGGTGAAGCGACACACAAGGGCTCCCAGTCACATCATGAAGGCCTGGGTTTAACTAGCAAGCTTGGTGACAATACTGGGGAGTTACAGGAAAAATCGGACCCATTGCCTGTAGCCTGTCAACCCCCACATAGCTGTAGTAGTGACAGCATAGAAGGTCTCGCTCACAGCCCTGCCGTGAAGGAGCGCACTCAAGAAATCGAGTCCCGCGTGATGTTCCAGGCAGGGTTCACCAAGCCACCTCAAATGAGGCGCTCAGCTTCTCTTGCCAAGTTAGGGTACTTGGACCTCTGCAAAGACTGTTTACCAGAGAAGGAGCCTGAATGCCCTCATCTCCAACTGCTTCAGCCCTTCATCAGAACAGACTCAGGCATGCACACCATAGAGGCCCAGGACCCCCCTCAGAACCCAGAACCCACCAAGTATTTTGTAGAGCACCTCAAAACAGCAGAGTGTATCGCGCAGAGCAAGCCAGTGGAGAGGCCCCTCGTGCAGTATGCCAAAGAATTTGGTCACAGTCAGCAGCAGCATTTGCTCCCCAGGGCAGGGCCTGAATTGACTAGTTCTGAAGGAGGCCTTCCTTCGCCACAGACCCAGGGACTGTGGTGTGCAGGCCCTGCCCCAGGGCTGGCGGTGGGACCCCGTCAGCAACACGGCAGAACTCACCCACTTAGGAGACTAAAAAAGGCAAATGATAAAAAACGGACAAGCAACCCCTTCTATAATACCATGTGATTCTGAGCCTATCCATGTGACTTTCTAAAAGAAACGTTTGTAAAAGGGGCAGGTGTAATATGTAAGGAACATGCACTTTATTGGTTAATTTTATATTTTGGTCATTTTACTGTTCCTGGCGCATGCAGGGTTTGGGTTTTTCAGTGTGTGTGTGCTTGTGTATCTGCGAGGGGAGAGAGCGAATGCGAGATTGACTTGGACAGCAAGACCATTTTATCATTTTTTATTTTTAAAGAATTCAAACCTCAAAAAACTCATTTTCAATGAACACCTTTATCAAAGGCAAATTGCTGTTTTTCATTCAACTACCACCTGCTCCTCACTTTGCTCTCTGAGAAAAGGAATGCTTGATTGGGAAAAGGAGAAAGAAGGGCGGCTGGAGCGGAAGCCGGATTTGGAAATGCTCCCCTGGGCCTGGCTGAAGCAGGCCATTTTGGACCTGAGGCTGAAGGGCGGCTGGGAGTTCAGCGGGGGCTCAGCCTTTATCTCCTGGCCTGGCCCTTTGGATTCCCTGAGCTGGGCAGGGTCTGCTTTGCTTTAAAAGGGGGCCTTCCAGAATCCATTTCTTGTGGTATTCCAGAGTGTATCATTACAGAAAGGCATGAGAGTGGCCTGGCTTTGTAGATTTACTGAGCAAATCCTATTTTCCCCCAAAAAAAATAATTTTTGAAATTGTATTAAAAGGGAACCTCAAATCAAATCTGAGAGGTCTTCTACAGAGGAAAGCATGGGAATGAGAGGAGGACATGAAGGTAGGGATGGCGAAGCCACTGCCCAGAAACGTCTAGGTTGGTAGGACTCGTACGAGTGGTCCCCCTGGCCTGCCTTTCCCGAAAACGTGCCATGCAGTGTCCTCCCAACTAAAATACAATAGTGACAAGTTTGAAAAACAGCAATCAAAAGTCAATGTGTTCTTGTAAAATGAAGACTTATGTAGGGTTTTAACCCTTCCATTACTTGAATAATTCTGTGGGCCTTCTGAGTTTAATGGCCTTTTTTTTCCTTTTCAATTTCCTCCCCAGTGCTGTTTTTCCTGTGCTGCCTGTTATTTTTTTTTAATTTCATAGATTATATTGAATCGTTACATTACATATGTATAACCTCCATTGAGTGCAAAGTTTTCTATATTATCACTGTTAACACTTGACAGAAGTTTTTTTGTTTTATTTTCTTTTGTCCTTTTCTGGAAGATTTGTTATTTCTCTAAAGTTTATACACAGTATTTATGTACATAATGTTGTCACTTTCTTACAATGTTTTGTTTTTAAGGTTGTAGAGTCTCTTTGACTTATTATTTTTTTTTTTTAGGAAGGAGTAGAGTTGCAACTGGAAAATACACAAAGACACCTGAAATAAAACTCATGGGTGTCAATAGGAATCTGCAGAGTATATTGACAGTAGTTTTAATTTTTAAAGGGAGACTTCTAATCACCAGCTCCTGCCAAATTATGCATTAGTAACTTCCTTCTCAGAGAAACCCCAGGAGGCTCCCGTTAGATCACAGGCCGATTTCTCTTTGAGACTGCAATCCCTGAATCTCGTTTGCCAGGAGTTGAACCACAGCCAGGGAGTGTAGATGTGTTGCCCAGAGTGGAAGCTTCTAATGGAGGCTGAGAGGCCGCAGGGGAGGTCTCGGCCAAGGGCAAGTGCCCATAATGACTCCATTTAGGATGCTGTTGCTTTGCTTCTGTTGTGGGGATCCTTAATACAAGAGCATCTGCCATAAACAAGCCTCTTTCAGAGCACGTATTTAGCCTGGAATGAAACACCCTCCGCAGCTCATCAAAACTGAAGAGGTTTGCAAATTTGCTTCCTGTTTGCTTTGGTTGATATCCACATTGCTGAGAATGGACTGAGTACAGACTCGAGACAGGTTTTTGGTTCGTCACGGCACTGAGAGGAAAAAGACACAGGTGCAGACCGTCGAGATGGTATCAGAGGCCCAAGCCTGGTGGGGCAGGTAGGGTGACCCAAAGGATACAGAAAAGGCGGACCGAGGCCTTTCGTAGTGCTCAAGAGGAGCTGTGAATCCAGTTGCCGCATGGGAGCCATGGTCCGCCATCACTGCCGGGAGGCGGATTTAAAGTGTCTTTATAGTATAGTAGTTCTGTGTACCTGTGCTGGCCCTCAGTAGTTTCCCAGTGTGCACCTGTGTTACCCATGCGCTTTGTGATTCCCGACTATTGACGTGTTGTGAAGTGTTCTGTTAGATGGTATGTGCCCGTGTAAGGAGGCTTGCTGAGACAGGCTTGTGGGTTTCCAGGCCTTATCTATCTAAACTGCCTGTCTTTTTGAAGCAGTTCTACCACCAAACAACATGATGGGGAAAGGACAGGAAACTGTGGCAGGGGTGGAGAGAAGAGGATGTGCGTGGAGGTTAAGCGTGGCTTCCACTCAGTCACCTCTTGGGCTGGCGATATCCCCACACGTTGACGACACAAGCTGTTTCCACAGTGTTGCACTGCGCCCTCTTGTCTCCTGCCGCCGTGTTTAATGCTCATTCTCCCTGTTTAAATAACAGCAAGGAGGAGGAAACCCTCTGATGCTATGGGGGGGGGAGGCTTTTTTTAAGGAGTGGAGGAAAAGTAGAGGAAATAGTCTCATTCTGCCTTCTTGATTTTTTTAATTACATTTTTTTCTTTCTTAATTTACCTTCCTAAATAAACATCATCTACACAGGGTCTGCCATTCAACCATGCCAAGTGGTTTTGGTGGTTTTGCCAGCCCTCTCAAACCCCCCCAATTAGGTGTTCTTGATTTACTTACGTGGCTGTGCATGTCCAGGGGAGGTGCATAACGAGCTCTCAAGGACTTTTCAGACTTTCTTCTCTTCAGACTGTTCGATAATCTGCAATGCCTGTGTCCCTGTCCTGGTCATGGAAAACCCGGCCCTGGGACAGCAGGTGGTGGATTGACAGAAATGAACGGGAAAAACCTTGAGCTCTGGCCCAGTGCCTGCTTCCTTTCTTCCTCCCTCCCTTTCTCCTTTCCTTCCTTTCTTTCACCCACCATAGTTTGAATCTGAATTACTCTGGACGTGAGAGAGAGAGAGTGTGTGTGTGTGTGTGTATAAAACAGTTAACATTTTGATACCTGGGTAAGAGGCCCAGGAGCACGCGGGATTTGAGCTGTACTGATGACGACTTGGTCAGTAAGAGAGAAAGCTCAGGCCTCTCTTGATTTTTGGAAATGCTTAGTAATAGTGTGCACTAGAGCAGACGCATCATGCCGTAGTGTAGGAAGACTCATCTCTCGGCATTTTGGTTGCCTTTCTGATTCTAAAGGTTTGGGATCATTCCTAGCATCTCAGCCTCATCAGGCTCTGTAGCTAGTGTTTTCCTGGTTCTGTACCTTTATCCCAGCTGGTATTTCCCTCCTCCTCCTTTTGGGAACTACTGCAGCCTGAGGATGACAGCCCCCAGGCTCTGAGGTCCCTTCCTCCTCGTGGGTCCCAGACAAGGTGTTTGGTAGACCTGAAGCTTCTTACAGGGAACTGCTGAGGACATAGCAGTTAACAGAAATCTGCACCTGTTTCATCTGAGGATTTCAGTTCTGAAGTGATCTAGGCATGTTTGGTAAAGATGTTTTTGTGGGAGTCTCTTGGTTTTGTTTTTTTTTTTCCCCCCTTAAGAAAGCATTATGCAAAAAGTCACTCTAAGGGCATTTAAATTTTTTAAATAAAGCCATTCTTTGGCTTTTTTGAACAACTATTTGTGGATACCTTGTTTACAGTGTATTAAAATATGCATCGTGTTGTTGACCACTCAAGTCCTCCAGGCACCTAGGCCCTGGCTGTCCTGTAAGTCCTCATGCAGAGCAATGCCATAATGGTCAGCCTTCGTGGGTAAGCGGGTAAATCCTGGAACCGACCTGCGTCTGTCCTGCACTCCACCGACACTCTGTGGAAGTAGTCATCTCAGTGATGATGTGTCCTACAGTGATGGTTGTAATGGTGAATGGCTAGTATCGTTTTTAATTTTGTTTTGCTTTTTTGGTGGTAGACAAGATGAAATTTTAGCTGTTTCAGCACCAATCCAACTTAAAAGCATCTTGGACTTCGTTTTCTCTTCCAAACTAAAGATGCAAGGCATGTATTAGACATAAGTGTATTTGCTGCCTCAACTCATCCATATTAGGAAACGTCCTGCCGCCCAGGCAGGAAACTGCACACTCCTAACCCTTCTTCCAGGATTTGGGGTTCCCTGATGCCATGGAGAGCAAGGTGCTTCTGTCCTTTTGCAGCCTATAAGTGGAGGGTGATTGGGCCAGGCTCCTGCTATGAACAAGAGAACCAGCCTCATTTTCTCAGTGCCCCAGAGATCTAGGACAGGATTTCTAAACTGGAATCATCCGTCATCAGCTCGAAGAGCCCTGAGAGGTATGTGGCTGGTGCTGCCATCTGTGTCCTCCAAGCCACGCTGGTGGCAGCATCTTGTGTGTGCTCATGTGCAAAGCCACTACCCAGGACTCAACTCACACTGATGACCCAGACTGAAAACTGGCCCCCAAATGTTTCCCAACCAGTAAGCCCACAGGGAATTGTTTGGTTTTTATATTTTGTTGGATTTTGGTTTGCTTGGCATAGCTAAAGGTGCCTTTTTTTTTTTTTCTTTCTTTCTACTTTATTTGTAGGACTTGTTCTAAACATGACAAGTCCAGAAGACTCTCCCTCTGACTGTTACCTTTGCCCCAGGCCACCCCAGACTTTTGTGCTCGCATTTTATTAAATAAAGCAGGTGCTCCCTGGAATCTCTGGGACCTTTTTGAGGCATTTGAAGCAGAATATAGAGTGGTCTCATCTCCTTCCTTAATCTTCCTGGTGGTTGGGATGTTCCACTTGTATCATAGATTTTTTTATTACCAACGTGCTCCGCTGTTTTTAAATGTGAACTTGTGCGCAAATGTGCAGATTCAATGTTCTTGTTACAGACTGAATAAATTTTTATTTTGAAGATGAAACACTGTGTGTGTTGTCAAGTGCAGAAGAGGGGAATGGAGAAGGTGGAGAGTTGGAAGAGGATACCCACTGTTAACAAACGTGCTGTTCTCTACAGCCAGTAGGTCGTATGGTAGTTAAAGTGCTGGACTCCCACATGGCTGCCTGTGGTTCAAGTACTGGACCCAGAGGCTTGAAAATCATGCAGGGCGCATGTGCGTGCATGCCCAGAATCCCAAGAAAAGAATGGAAGAGAAGGGATTGCGGTGTGGCCATCACCCCTGGTGGGGGAGGGGGATGATGTCTCACTTTTCCTCTCTCTGTGTCTCTGGTGAGTGCATGTGCCCTATGACAAAAATAAATTAATTTCAAAAAAGAAGTGCAGTTCTCATGGATTGATCCTGGTCCAGCACATCCTAAGGAGACAACTAATCTTTAGGGGGAAATTAGAGCTTTCTTCATTGCACCGAGTAAGACTGGATAGGAGACAGGCTCATTAAACAATATCTCAGACAGCATGGCTGCAACCAAGTGACCAAGCTGGTAACTTACTTGATCAAAGAGGCACTCACCAGTCACCACCTAAATGTTAGTAGAATGAATAAGCAGAGGGCCCCAAATTCCTCTGCCAACATACTGCAGTGACCAGTCTGGGACAGTTGTTGTGACCTCTCCGAGTTTTAGTGAGATAGAGCTAACAAGCTTTCAGTGCAGGGCACGTCAGCTCACTGAAACGTTTCTGTTAGGTCATCGGGAAAGTCAGGGTGTATTTGTCTATGTCTGTCTATGAAAAAAAAAAATGTGTCATGGAACCAGCAGTTAGCATAATAGCTATGTCGCTGGACTCCCATGTAGTCAACCACGGTTCGAGCCCGGACCCGGTGGCTTAAACTCACACTGGGCGTGTGTGCCCAAGATCCTGAGAGGAGATTAGAGGAGAAGGGATTGCGGCATGGCCATCCCCCCCTGGGGGGTGATTTCTCACTTTCTGTCTCTCTGTCTCTCTGTCTTTCAGGCAAGTGCACGCACCCTGTAGCAAAAACCTCTCCAAAAAA